AAGAGACCTTCAAGTGTTTAAGTAAATACCAGCAGCAGATAGTGTACTACTCTGTCGAGATCTGCTAAAGTGAGGCTACCCTTATTTATTTTGGGGAGCCACGTGCAGCAATATCTGCCTTGTTAGTTATGTGTGTCCTGCAGGTAGTTTTCCCTGTGATAGGAGTTGTCCAATTAGAAATTTTCCCCTGAATTTCACTGAAGTGATCAGTGGCACCACTTCAGCCTTGGAAGTCATTCAGGTCAGCCTCAACTCACTGGGCAAGATGGTTATAGACTACAGACTTTGTCCTTGTGAGAAAGGTGGAGTCTTTGCAATTACAAATAAATCCTATTGTACCTGGATTAATGCCTCTGGCCAAGTAGAAAAGTTTATGCTGAAATTTAAGAAGAAAGCTCTCTAACTTTTTAAAGTAGACTCTTGATGGTTCAATTTGTTCAGCTGGCTAAGTCCAGGAGCCTGGTGGGGATGGTTGAGATCATCCTGCTCATTAAAGTCTTATTTATACTATCCTTAAATAAATGCAGAGGAGATAAATTAAATAGATTTGATCCCAAACTCTGTCAGTCAGATTCACCAGAGTGGTCTTAGGACTGGCATATTCATGGAGAGATTTGCTAGAAGTCAACAATGTTGTAGAAACACAGAGTAAATATTTTGGGGAGACAACTCTCCATAGGTCTCTTGTCTTACTGCACATTTTGCAAGCAGAATCTCTCCCCAGAGAAGAGGAGAGACTTATTTACACGAAAAATAATGTCTCCTTCGAGGACACATATTGAACAGGTTTACTAGAAGCCCATTTTAAAAGATACAGGTTCCCTAAGCCAGGGTTCCTTAGCTGTCATACCAGCCCACCACTGCATCCACAGCATCCACCTGAGTGGCTCCACACAGCCTTGTGGGACTTGAGGCCAAGAGAAACAGATATTAATGTGAGGCTCATGCTTCTTGCTGTGCCATGAGTATTAAAGTCCTCTCTCTATAATCCTGGAGCATGGTATTTTCTGCCAGTAATCATGAAATTGATGCAGGCTAACTTGTAGATCCTGGCAATGTAATTTTTCAACTGGAGGTATTGCTCTCTCAAATAAATTTGGCATGTTATTGGCACTTTAAAAGGGACAATAGTTATTGTGTAGGCAAGAGGCTATTTCTGCTGATGGGTCAACCTACTTTGGCCCAATGGCTGTCCTGTTTCCATGCTTCCAACGATAACCAAACCATCCGAATTGACATACAGTATTTTTCCTCAAATGATGTTAATATGTTGAAGATCTGCAGGCTTGAAGCCATTGTCTCTGTTTAATAAAGATGATTCTATACACTTCATTTGTAAACTTTTTATTTCACAGTTTGTCAGAAATTAATCTTATTGTTATTGCTATAGCATCGAAATACTCTAGTGGTTGACAGCAAGGACTATGGATGAGACTATCAGCGTTTGAATTCAGGCTTCTCAACTTACTTTTGAGTTACTTGACCTCTTACTACCTCAGTTTTTTCATTTGTCAAATCATCATCATCATCTCCCTCAGTGGTTGTGAGGATTAAATGAGATGACACATGTAAGGCACTTAGAACAAAGCCTGGATATAATAAAGGTCTCTCTAAGATTAGCCCTTGTTATTATATTCTTGGGTGAAAGTTCACTGCAATCTCTTTATACTCATTACACATGGTTAGGAGTATAGGCTCTGGTCAGACTTTAAATCGCAGCTCTGACACTTCTTAGCGATGTTTTGTGAACAAGTTACTCATCACTTGTTTCTGTTTTCCTATTTGTAAAACTGTGATAATAGTATTACCTACTTCATAGAGCTGTTGAGAAGATTAAATGATATGGTGTAAAATACTTATTCTAGTGCTTGGCAAATAAAAATGCTCAGAGATATTATTTTTAATATTTTTATTGCTGCAAGACTTATTCACACTTTCTCTGTATTGGATTGGCCGTCTCTCACATACTGTGAAAGTTAGGTAGGATTTTGAGAGGCAACAATCAAGATCCAAGTCTACCCATAAAGCCTTCTTTGATCACTGCTGCTGAAATTAGACACTTCCTTCATTACACACCACTAGCATTCAATTTGCATCATTCATGACACTTGCACTATTTTCTCTACTAAGAGAGTCATACAAATATTTTACCTCTTTTGTTAATTGTAAGCTTCTTAAAGGCTAAGACTGCATTCTGTAAAACTTTTTAGTTCATATTTTGCATTGCATTAAGCAAGCGAGCAACGCACACTTCCTGAATGACACATATTTAAAAGCTCAATACTTCCTTTTTAAAACTGTCTTGAATCAATCCATTCAAATCAAGTTTCCACATTTTTTTCTCTTTTCATCCATTTACTCAGAATTAAAGACATGACTATTCTTTGTTAGGGAATTTTAAGCAGACTTTTTTACTATGCCTTTAATCATTAACTGCTTTTGAAAAAGGTGTTTCTCTAATTAACTGGACATAGAAGCCTAATCTTTTTGTTAAGAATATTTTTCTAAGCAAAATACATCTTCAATAACATTTGGCTCCAGCAGGCTGCCTGATTCCATCCAGAGATGATGCTTAATTCATCCCCTAATGAAAACAATTCCTAATAACCAAGATAAAAATCAAGTATAATACCAATGTTTGAACTTAAAATGATGACATTGATGAATGGATATGTAAATACATGAGCCCTCCTCAAGGTACAACGTATTTGGATAACTTGATGTTTACTTTGGACTCCAGCCCAGTTCTTGACTAGCAAGATTTATTGTAAGTATCAAAGGGAAATTTTCTTTCATTAAACAAGAGTATTACTGGAAATAATTTTAATGATACAAGCAAGGTAATTTTTCATAAATTATTAAATTAAATAATAAGTCAAAAGCAAGTTTATCATCAGAGTAAAGGAATAAAATATTTTTTGTTATTCTTAAAACAAACCTTGCTTCTAACAGAGGACCCAGTCATATACCGTGATTATAGCATCTTATTTCCTCAAATGAAAACAAAGGAAAAGAGAATGAGGAATTTCAAATGTATGTAAATGATTCTGTGTGACTATGAATTTAGTGTACATTTTCAAAAACACTTATCTCATCAATAATAAATATGTCTTCTCTTATAAGAATTTCCTAACTGTAATCCATGTAGAACTTGGAAACAAGATTTTCTTTCCTCATGGACATTTAAAATTAAAGAGTAAAATTATCACTTTAATGTTATGAAAATACTTTCACCAAAAATCACTTTTCTGTTCTTTACTTTATAGGACTATTTCGATAGGACTAATTAAAAGTTTTTCCTCCCTTAAAGAAAGATTTAGGGTTTAAAAATTCATTATTTCAAGTTATGTTTGAGCAGAGGTCATAAGAATGCCATTTAAAGTTATAAAAACCATAGATAATCTGACCGGAGTAAAATTGACCAAGGCATACTCAGCATGTTGACTCCAGAGGTAGAGTTTACTACGTAACTAGATAATACTATCAGTGAATTTCAGATTTGTGTCCAATCCTTACTTTTACTGATGAGCCAACTATTTTTAATTTCCCTTTTGTTTATTTTATTTATTTCAGTCTCTTGGTCTTCGTTCTGTGATCCCTAAATAATATGAATTAAGTAACAAAAATAAGGATTTCCGTCCTGGAGACAAAAGAGTGTGCCTGCAGAGAGTGCCACAGACTTTTGGCTGAAATCGACCCACCAAGTTTAACGCGACTCTGGTTGCCAAAAGCCCAAAAGGTCTCTGCATATTTAGAGCTAAATGTAACTGCCGCTCGCTCTCCCTCCCCAGAGTCCACAGGAGCTCTTATTTTTTGCTTCCCAGATTTTTGTCAGCCTGTTTGTGCTCAGTTCTATTGATGCCACTTTCTGGCCCCCTCCTGTGTAACTGTTCTCCAATATTGTTCAAAATGCTGGGTAGATTATGACAAAAAAAAATATTTTTTAAATGCTTATTTATTTATTTCCTAAGAAAAATAAGTTGCACTACAGAGGGTGAAATTTTCTTGATTTTTTTTTTTTTTAATAAAAATGTTAAAACTAGACCCATCCATACTGAATGGGCAAGGTTTTCTGAGGCTTCTTCTTAAGGCAAATCTCTAACAAAACACGTTTCAAAATATATATTCTTTATCAAGATCTGTTCATCTTCTCTCATTTCATTACATCTATCTCTACTTCTCCTAACGACAAAAGTAAGAGAGAAATTATATTTGAACATCTCTGGGATCAGTCAGTTAGAAAACAGGCAGATTAATTCAGGAAAATACTTAAACAAAAATAATATTATTTTTGCTTATTTTTCTTAATGTAGTACAATTAAAAATACCAAGACAAAGTGTCTTCCTCAATTATGGTAAATTTAGGGAAAATGTTTTTGTTTTACCTTGGAGAGTTAAATAAATTGTCTTTATACTACTCAGTATTTTTGTGAGATTTCATATTGTAGACCATATGCCGTGCTACCTATAAAGTAATATAATTTCAGTGAACCCAAGAGTTAAATACTAAGTAGATATTAAAGTCTACAGAAGGGTGTAAGGAAGATATGTCACATTTTTTTTGATCCAATAAATAGAAATAGGCAATCTTTTTCAGTGTTCCAGAATCTGTCCAAAATGGTCTTTTATTATTATATAGAGATATAAATGTTTTTGAAAGGGGAGAAAGACAGTATTGTCTTTATGATTTCCCATTAGTTGAAAAATCAAGATATACTGCAGTCAGATTCTCTTTAGAAACATTTATAACCTGAGTATTAGGTACAGGTATTTATTTTTAATTTGATTCCAAGGGATTTAATATGAAAGATTGAACTTGCAGCCTTAAAAATTTTTTTTGTTGTTGATGCTAGACTTGTAAGAAGAATATGTAAGAAGACTTGTAAGAAGAAAACCACAAATAACAATGAATAAGTTCCTTGAAGTTTTTCAAGATTTGATGAAATTGTTTGCCATGCAAATATCAGCTTACAAAACTCACACAAATCTCAAATACTTACCATATTCACTATCATAGAATATAATGAATTTCTGCCAGGCATATTCTGTGACCACTCTCAGGATAACGTCATTTAAGTAGACAGGCGGGCGAACAGAGAGAGTGTAATCATCATTCCTGTTGCTCCGGGTGAGTCCACAGCCACTCCTTGGGGTCCCAGCCGTTGAGCGCTGAATGAAGAGGTGGGGGATATGCATGGCATCTGCCAAAGACTGGAGGGACCCGGCTGACGTGCAGCCAATGGAGCTGACCAGGGCCAAGATGCCCTGATTCATCAGTTCACAGGCTGCAACAAAGCACAATAATATTCAAAGGTCAATGGGTTTCCTATATTTTCTCTTTTTGAGGAGCAACGCATAAAGCTTATGGGGTTATTACACAACTATGGAAATTTTTTTTTAAAGCTACATTCTACGTGAGGAGATCTTCAAATTACAAACTGCTATTAGATTTCAGTTCAAGAATTCTGTCCTTATTAGCTATTTGACCATGTGCAAATTACTTTGCTTCTCCTATTCGCAGTTTCTTCATCTGTAGAGAGGGTAAAATAGCTTGAATCTTGCAGGATGATTACGAGGATTGGAGATAATTCAGTACCTGTTATTTGCCAGTTACATGATAGGCATTCAGTTAGTGATAGCTATACTTTTATAATTATCAATGTATAATTCAGAAAAAAGATAATTCCTTACCAAGTACATAATACAAGGTTTTCAAAAAGGAGATAATACGTAAACTGGTGAATGAATGAAGGGGGAGATGAAAAGTCCGAGGAGGGCATTTCTGGCCACAGAAAACAGAGCCATTCAGATATCTAAAACTTTGATGACATTTTGTCTCCCTTATTAAACTGGAAAAATCAAAATGTTTTTGTTCTCTTCCTTGACAGTCAGAAAACTCATGGTCAAATCAAATACTACATTTCAGCTACTATCTCATTCTGGTTTCCAGCTGAACAATTTCTAATTTCTACTATATGATTTATGATCTCTGTTTTAATTTCATTTTATCTATTCTGTGCATGCATATACTTACTGAAAAAAATATTTAAAAACAGATCAAATACAAATTATAAGTAATTATAAAGACACAGCATATATAGAAAAAAAGAGTTGAGAAGTGATATCTCAGAATGCTAATCTTTGAAGGCAAGAGATTAGAAATAAAATCAGAAGTAAATTCAGAAGGAATTGAGGCAAAATTAACTCCATTTGAGAAGGTCAGTTATTATAATTGGTCCAGTCTTTATTCTAGATTTTAGGCATTCTAGGTATAACATTCTCAGTATTAGACTTTATTATAGATTGTTTTACATAATTCTTGAAAAATTCAAGGGAAAACTTAGATGATAAGTACCTCCATGTACTGAATTGGCCGGTTAATGAAGGCTGACAAAATGCAAGTTTAGAAGTACTATTTAATGATATGCATATAAACATCAAATAAATTTATTATGATTAATGTTAAGCCAACCAACACATACAAAATAAATTAATAATTATTAGGGACACAAATTTTCAAGCATGAGAGACGTTATATGATTTCAAATAAATGTGAAAGATAGCATCAGGGATGAATGCTTCTTAGACCACAACAGATTGAGGTTGGAGTTTCAGTAAAAATCATAGAGCCTACTCATGTTCATGAATTCAAAACTTATAGAAAGCAGAATGAATTTATAGTTATACTTTCGATGAATTTGTGCAAAACACTGGTCAAAAGTTTGTTTCATTATTGTGGTAAATAAGGCCATTTCTGATTTATATAAGCAAATAGAAATCCACTTAAAAAAAGATTTTGTTTGAAAGCTTGGCTCATTTAGCATTTAAGATCAAAATAAGAAGAGTGCCTTAAGGTATATAATGTATATGTAAGGTATACATAGTTGAATTCAATCTTTAGATTACACTAATTAAAAATGACCAAACAAACATTTTATATAAATCTACCAGAAAAGTTACAAAATTATAAATATAGAAGTTTGAGATGAAAAAATTCAGTTTTATTATTATATTTTGTCACATATAAAAATACATGAAAATTATTTTAATTTTCAGATTTAGAAAGATAAACTCTGAAGAATCATATATTAATCATTATTTAACAGATACACTTGCTTTAGTAAATAATCCGTGATTTCCTGCAATCAACTATGTTACTTCCTATCAACCTCTGTTAGTAAGAACACAAACTAAGCAAATACTGGAAACAGCTATTATTATATAAGCAAAGGTATTATTTTTAGATTATCTACTATTTGGCAATATCCATCCTGCTACACATATTAGCAAGGATAACTGAAATTTCTCTATAAAATAAAAATAGGAATCATCAAAAATTGCAATCAGAAAAACCATATAATGTTAGATCTGAAAGGTAATTTAAAGATCATATAGTCCAGGGATGGAAAATCAGCTTTAACTGCTCTGCCAACCATAACTGGTTGTTAAGTTGGCATCCTGGAACACCATTTTGAGAAAGATCCTGACACTCAATAAGAAAGAGTACCAAAATCATTGTCTTAGGTTTCTCATAGGAAGAGACTGGGAGAATAGCAGCCTGCAAGTCATAGACATACTTCTCTCTTATAGTGCCCAACCTTCTCTTCACAGTTGTCAAGAAAGCACACACTTCCACTTAAAAAAAAAAATAGAAGATCCAGGTCTCTAATTCATTGTCCAATATCCTTTTCCCCATAGCAAGCAAACGATATTCGTAACCTTAAAATTTTGCATGGCAAAGAAAAGATAGACAGAGCTCTCCATAAGCTCAATTGGAGATTGTCTATTGTCAGGTTTGGTAAAAAGAGCTTCCACTAAAGAAGAAAGAAAGAGCTCATACATCTAAACTAGATTGGGATCAATTCACTCAAAACACAACCCCAGTTGGGCACATATAAGAATGGGCCTGCAAGGTAAACTATCAGGGCTATATTTGACGCCCATTTTCCCTATTTTACCAATATAAAACATTGGTTGAAGCAGAGAAGATACAAATTGATTTGCTCTGAGCATCGACCCTTCATAGGGCCCTATATAAAGATTAGTATGAAAAAGAGACTACTATAACTCACTACGGCAGAAGAGAGAGTCAAGGAAATAAAGGGCCACACCAAGAACAGAAACAAAGCTTAGTGGAGCAGAACGCCTTTTGCTACAAGAATTCCATGTCTTGAATGTTAGAAGACTGCATTATTTAGAGTTCCATACAATGCACACTTCAGTTCATTAGATACAGTGTGAAACTGAATTCGGAAGATAAGAGTGTGTTTTTGTGTGTATCCACCACATTTTTATCATAAGAATCCAAGCCAAGGACTTCTCAATGGAATACTTCTTTCCCACTATTATTTTAAGCCCTGTGATTTATTTAAATTATGTATGCATGTACCCACACACCTTCAAACATATACAGCATATTGAACAGCTTGCTGGTTTTGTGACTCCAGCTGTTTGAGATTTTAACACTATTAAAGACGTTTGGAGTCTGCATCAATTACTGAAAGCACACATTTCTTTATTTCTTTTCTTTCTTTCTCTCTCTCTCTCTGTTTTTTTTTCTAAATAGCAATTGCAATCAGCAACACGTTCACCCTTTATGGTCATTCAACAGTTATGGAAATGAAGTTCTCTGTATTAAATGTATAAATTTAAGTTAAATGATGTTCATGTACATTATCTTTTTCACTTCTGAAACTAATGTTTGTCTTCTTTTTCTTATTAAGTAAAATAAAATCTATAAAGGGTCTTGAAATTGATTATCTATTACTGAATACTCAATGACAACTCAGTGAAATATTTTTGAATAGCACCACCCTCCTTGAATACACTTATTCCCTGCAAGATTTTTTCTGACTTATTTATGTTGACAAATTTGTCCTGATATAACCTCTTCCAATGATTTTAAGTTACATCAGAACTTTAGCACATTCCATTCACACACTTATTCTTCAACACACATTTATCAGCTTTCAACCATGTGCCAGAAACTTCTTTGGAGATAAGTGAATATATACGGCAGGTTCTATCCTCAAAGATCTCCCAATCTATTCACCATAGTGTTTCCAAAATGTCCCCTGCATCAGAATTCAAAGTGGAGATTTTAAAAAATACAGATGACTTAGTCCACTCCTAGAGGATCTACTTTATTCATTCCAGGCTAGTAGTCATGTATTTGCATTATTACATGTTATCTGAGTAGTTCTACTGTGTAACCCCTTCTGGAAAACATTACTCTGGTGAATTGTAACCACAATGCTTTTTGATGTGAAGACACATAAAGTTAATAAGAATCATAGTACTCCAAAAGGTGATCCTTATCGTCTTTTTATTTCCAAAAATAAACTAAGATGATTTCATTCTTTTAAGTTCCTCCAACTCATATGCAACATACCATATACCCATAATTCTAAAATGTATGTAATTTCTATATTTTATCATATCTGAAATCAGGACATATTTTAAAATTGATCAATACATTTAATATGATGGATTATTTTTCTTGAAAAACTCATTAATCAATATTGAATTTTAAATTATTGAGCTCTTATAAGTGAGAAAATAAGGTAAGCTTCCATGGCAGATGAGAAAGATTGTACTCTTTCTACAACAGCTGAATTTAACTTAACTTCTTTTTGTCTATTTAATTCACTAATGAACCATAAGCATAGTATTTATAATTGCCTTTTTCGTTTTTCATCCACCAAAAAGTACCTGACCTTTCCTTTTATACTTCTAAGAATATAGTAACACAAAACATTTTCAGCCTACCAAGACATTTAGCATTCTTTGCAAATATGATTTTCAGCAACCATCTGAGAGGTGGCATATAAAAAGTAGGATTAACCTGATAAACATCATCAATGTAGTTTGCCAAAAACATAATAATTTGGAAGAAATTCTTTTAAATAAAGATGGTCTTTATATATAAATAGTGTTACAAGGTCCAATTTAATCACAATTATATACTTAGGAAGTGAGACTACAGAAAAAATTCTTTTAATTATAATTAAAAAGCATTAAGACTTAATTTCTTCTTACAAAGAACGTGAATGGCTAAAATGGTTGATTACCAGCCATCAAATGAACTCAACTGAATAATTTTCAGTCAACTATTTTTTCAACCATTTAAAGCCAGCATGAACCTTTCATTATAATTCATGATCTAAGCCTGAGATGAACTAAACATGCAACCTAGAAACTATTATAAGTCACTTTATTTTTCCATTTATATTTCCTAACAACTCAGTGCAGGAAAGCTATTATTATTCTCATTTCCAAGTCAGGA